CAGGAGATCAGGAGATTTATTGCACTGGGAAGGTCTGCTTCTAGGGACCTCTCCAAAATACTGAAGAGCAGTAATGTCAACTTGAAGACTAAAGTGCACCTGATTTAAGCCATGGTCTTTTCCATCATTTGGTATTCATCTGAGAGCCGGACAGTAAATAAAAATTACAGAAGAAGAGTTAATGCATTTGAGTTTTGGTTGTGGTGTGGTGTGTGTGTGCGCGTGTGTGCGTGTGTGTGTGACATGCCGTCAACTCACAGGCAATTCATAGTGACCCTATGCACGAAAGGCCTGGACATCTCCTATATAACTTTCGTCTTCTCTCCAGATTTGTAGGGTTTCCAGAGGCAAGCTAAGTGGATGCCACTCCTACTTCCAAGCTTGTTTTAATTGGGGAGCTTCACCAAACACTGTCCACCATGGGTAACCATTCTCGCATTTGACTCATCAGTGTCACAATGTTTGGCTTCACAGCAACCACGAGTTACCTCTGTACAGCCAGTGGACATACCAGGGTTACACGACCTTTGGCATGGGAGCTAAATATCCCATGGACTGCCAAAAGACCAGACAGATATGTCTTGGAAAAAGTGCCGTCAGATTTCTCCTTGGAGGCAAAGACGGTGAACCTTCATCTCTCATACTTTGGGTGTGTTGATAGGAGAGGCCATTCTTTAGAAAGTGGTATCATGCTTGTGGTGGAAGGTCAGTGACAGAAAGACCTCCAGTGACATGGATTGACACAGTGATTAGCGTGTGGGTCAAGTGTGTCAAAGGTGATGAGGATGGCACATGATAGGACAGGATTTAGGTTTATTGTTCCTAACGCCACTGAGAGTCATACTCGACTCCATGACACCTAACAACAGCAGCAGTAACAACAACAACAATTCTTTGCGTGTCTAGTTTGTCTGTGTTCTCTCAAATAGAAGTACCGTAAAAGCAGGAACAAATTAATGGCACAAAGGAAGTTCTCCATAAGCATTTGTTACTTGAGTGAATGAACATTTGTGTATGTATCAAAGGATTATTATGTGTTTTGATGGAGAAAATAATCATTACTGTGGAACTTTCTCTTTTAGACAGATGGTCCTTTTGTAGTGATAACAAAGAAATACACATGCTAGAAACACATACCACATTGCCTTTTTTGTCTGTCTTCCTATCTCAATTTTCTAGATGCTATAATTTGCTTTGGCCTTGTTGCTTATTGAAGTAACAAGAAATTTTTCAGTTCTGACAACATTGTGTAGCATCAGGGTGTTTAACTTTTATTCATCATTCATCAACTTATAGAAACAATAACTTACTATTTGAAAATGATGCAATTAGAGTACATGATTCCTAAAGTCTTCCAGTAAAAAATACTTTTTTCCTTAAAATGAAACTAAGAAAGAGGGGATAAATGATGTGCATTGAAACAGACAAGGGGGGAAACTGTATAAAAGGAATATATGATTAAGTATTATTGGTATGACAAGAGTCCAGAATAAGAGCTGCATAGTAAAGGGGCTTGGGGGGAGGGGGACTATTATAGCAATGAAAGAACTTTTTTCCCAAAGAAAAAAGCAAGCTGGCCAGGGCGGGGGGTGGGGTGGGAAGGACAGGGGGGAAAATGTGCAACAATGAATGGAAATCCAAGTTCTTTATAAACTTACGGTAAAATTTTAATTTTTAAAAAATGAAACTTTAAAAGTCATGCTGCATTACTACTTAGATGATTTCTAAGTAGTACTAATGTTCTCAACATTTTAATCACAGGATGACTGCTACCTTAAGCTTATGGGCTTATAACTTGCTTTATAATGAAGTTTCTTTTGAATCAAGCTTATTCTTGCATCTTTCAGTGAGAGACCCAGGAAAACAATCATACTATTGCAGTAGTACAGGTTGATCAGTCTTCAAAAACAGTCTTTAGAGATAGATTACATCCCAAGAATTATGCCTCCTGTGTGGTGTGCTGCCTCTGAAAACCCACTTGAAGGTCAGCTATGAATTGATTCTGACACAAAAGCAGATGAAAACAAATAATAGAAGTAAGAAGCTCTGATGGCCTAATGGTAAAAATCTGTGCTGCAGTCCCAAAGACATGTTGTTCAAATCCAACAGTGGTTCCATGGGAGAAAGGTAGGCAGTCTGCTCCCATGGGATTTTCTGTCTCTGAAAACCCATTGGAGGGTCAGCTGTGAGTCAGTTGCAACATAATAGCACACAACAACAGCACAATAGAAAGAAAAATATTTTTAAATCAGAAATTCACTTGTGAGTAGACAGGATTTGGTTCTTAAATTGGTATTCTTAAGTACATCATTTTGCTAAAGCATATATTCTCATGACATTTTTAATATGCAAAATTAAAACCACTATGATGTCCATAATTAAGTTCTTTTATGATATTTCTATTTAATTCTTACAAAGGTGACACTTTATTAAACTGAAAAGGGTAGAAATCTCAGGCATTATGGCCACACATCATTTAGGAAAGCTAATTAAGAAGCCTAATGAGGCCTTGAAACCAGGAATGAATCTCATACCAGAGACTATACCTTGATACTGAAGCCTTACTTCCTTCAAAATAGACAAATTCTTTCCCCTTCTTCTCTTATACCTTGAGTATTTCTCCTGAGAAAGCCAGAGACCCTGAAGGGTGGTTGATATCTCTGCTGTTACCTGCCTTATAACTACTTTCAGAAAAATAATAGTATGTAGCTCCTGTGCAGCTTTCTGTTCAGATTAGAAACATTGATTTACTATTAAATAAATAGTTCAAAATGAGTTAAAGTGTGGATATGTACGTGATACTATGTTTTTTATCTAGACCTGGCATATTGCTTGACAGGTAGGTGTCGTAAGAAGAGACTTTTATGCACACCCATATTTAGTGAGGCTTTGTTCACAATAGCAAAGTGTTTGAAACAATCCAAGTGCCCATCAAAAAATGAAATGGATAGAAAAGCTGTGATATATTCACACAATGGAATACTATGCTGCATTAAAAAACAAGGAACTCATAAAATATTATATAAAATGGGTGACCCTGGAGCACATTATGTTGAGTGAAATATCTCAGTCACAAAAGGACAAATACTGCACAGTGCCATTGTTGTAAAGTGGGTCTGACATTGGGGTTGGGGAAAAATTAAGAGGGGATAAATAATTTATTGTTGTTAAGTGCCTTTGAGTAGTAGACGACTCATAGGAACCCTATGAATGAAAGACCTGAGCACTGTTCATAGAGTTTCTGGAGGCAAGCTGTTTTGGAAGTGGATGCTACTCCTGCTTCCAGGCTTGTTTTTATCAGGGAGCTACACCAAACACTGTATATCATGGGTAACCATTATAGCATTTGGCACATCAGTGTTGCAGTGTTTAGCAGCTATGAGTTATGCCTGTACAGCAATGCAGAGACCAGTGCTATACCACTTAGAAGAATGTTTGGCAAAAAACAATTTAAACCAGGCCCTCGGGCCCCAATGAGTTTTTAAATAGGAGGCCTTATTACATCACCTCACTTCCCTTAGTAAATCAACATTTCACCCTACTGCTCACCAGTCCAAGCCAAGAGATTCTCTAAAACCAGGTCCTGTAGATGACTTTCAAACTAGTCTCCAGCACCATACTGCCTACCAAACAGGGTTTTTAAATAGGAGGCTTTATCACATTGTCTCACTTCCCTTAGCAAATCAACATTCCATGCTATTGCTCACCAATCCCAGCCAACAGCCTCTGTAGAACCAGCTCCTGTAGATGACTTTCAAACTGGTCTCCAGCACTAACCTGCCTACTAAGGGTTTTTAAATAGGAGTAAATATAGGTCATATAGCCCTGGTCTGTCCACTTGCTGTACAGAGGAAACTCGTAGTTGCTGTGGTGCTAAACACTGTGACACCGATGTGTCAAATGCCATAATGATTTCCCATGGTGGTCAGTTTTTGGTGGAGTACCGATTAAAACAAGCTTGGAGGCAGGAGTGGCATCCACTTCTGAAATAGCTTGCCTCCAGAAACCCTATGAACCTGGAGAAAGGATGGAAGTTATACAAGTGTTCAGGTTTTTCGTTCAAAGGGTCACTGTGAGTCACCTACAACTCGATAGCACTTAACAACAACAACAGCATAGAGACAGATCATTTGGCCTAGTGAACAGAAAGTAATGCAGCCAAGCCAAAGGTGGTTGACTTTAATCCATGGTCCTCAGGTCAGTTTTTTTAATTGTTTTTGGTGAAGCATTCTTCTAGGTCATATAGCCCTGGTCTGTCCACTTGCTGTACAGAGATAACTCGTGGTTTCTGTGAAACTGACCACCAGTGACACTGATATGTCAATTATGATAATGGTTACCCATGGTGGACAGTGTTTGGTGGAGCTCCCCAAATAAAACAAGCTTGGAAGCAGGAGTGGCATCCACTTCCGAAATAGCTTGCCTCCAGAAACCCTACGGACCTGGAGAGAGGATGGAAGTTATACAGACTTTTAGGGCTTTCGTTCCTAGGGTTGCTATGAGTCGCCTACTTGATGGCACTTAACAACAACAACAAATAATGTATACTGTATTGAAATAGATGAGGGAGAGAACTGTTTAGGAGGAATATATGATTAGATATTATTGTGAAGACAAGAGTCCAGAATGAAAGCTTCATAGTGGAGTGGACTGGGGAGGGGAGGGGGGATTGTGTAACAATGAATATTTTGTTTTATTTTTCAAAGAGAAAAGCAAACTAGATCAGAGCAGTGGGCAGGGAGGAAAGTGTGCAACAGTGAATGAATGGAAATCCAAAGTATCTAAACTTTCATGAAAATAAAGAAGTATCAATAATAAAAAGAAAGACTTTTAGGCACTAGGAACTAAGAACTTTAAGATTTTGAAATAAAATCCTCTGTACATTGCTTTTTCTTAGAGGTTCAAATAAGCACTTTTCATGTTTTAATTACTTTTCTCTCTTTTCATTCTCTTTCCACATTCCCTTTTCATTTCATCCAACTCCCAAAATGTTCTTACAGAAACACAAAGTAGATCTTTTCTACAAACTTCGCCATGTGATGAATGAGCTTATTGACCTGAGAAGGCAGCTACTGTCAGGTCACCTGACTCAGGATCAGGTGCGGGAAGTTAAACGCCATATCACCGTGCGCCTGGACTGGGGTAATGAGTAAGTATGAATAGTGTATGGGCATCTCTGCATTTCATTTATGACCACCCAGCCCTCATGGAGTTGAAGCTCATCTTTATTGTGTAAAAGACGATGCTGTGTTATCCTCTGAGCTGTGATCAGGAGTGGTTGTTTCTTCTATTTAACAGAGGACATTGGTTCTAGTCACAGAAACACTCTTCTAGAAAATTTTAAGAGTTCAACCAGATTATCCTCTGAAATTTATTATTGTTCAAATTCCTTGGTTCTTGATCTCACTCTACTAAGTATGAGATGCTTCTCTAGGAACTTATCCCTCCTGTGAATGTGGCCCAAGTATGTGAAACGGAACAGAAATCTCGCCATCTTTGCTCCCGAGGAGCATTCTGGCTGGTTGTACTTGTTCCAAGTCAGTCTTATTATTCTGGAATTCCGCTGTATATTCAATATTCTTTACTACAGCCATACTTCAGATGTGTCCGCTTAGCTTAGGGCTTCCTCATTCATTGGTAAAGAAGAGAGTCAGCAAAAAAAGGGTGAAATTGGGGGAAGGGATTGTATAACAATGAAAGGATTTTTATTTTACTTTTCAAAGAGAAGAAC